GTTTAACGGTCTTCTATTTTAAAAAGAATGGTATAACACCGTGATTACATTGATGGTAGTTAAAAAAGTTACTAGTACAGAGCCCGTGCGATGCACGGGGTGCACAATTTTAAGGTCATTTATCCATTCTTATAATGATATAAATGAATAAAAAACATGTACGGGATATATATAGTACGTGACCTGTAATAGGCCAAAATGTGAACACGGGTGATGCACGAAGTGTATAATTTTAAGGTCATTTATTAGTACAAAGCTCGTGCGATGCACGGGGTGCACAATTTCTAGCATGTGTAATAAAAATACATATCGTATGCACGGGACAGAAGCACTAAATGAGTCATTTCCACATAGCTTACCCGTCACGTAGCTCCTGAACACGGGTGCACAATATGTAGTACGTACCATAAAATCAGAACAGATTTCCATACAATTAGATAATAAATTAGATAATAAATAAAACCTTTTTATTTTAGTAAAAGATTTTACGTACTTTGTTTTTTTCTTATCGGATGTTATGGGATTTTTTTGTTAAACAGATTTTATGGAATATAATACAAATACACTTAAAGGATTGAACAAAATCAGAACAGATTTTCATACAATTAGATAATAAAAAGAAATTAGATAAGGAAAAAAAATGAATTATATAAGAAAAAGAAGGAATTAGATAAGGAATTTTGAATTGACTTTTTTTTTTGGATAGATAGACTTTACGTAAAATTTTGACTTCACTGATTTTATGGGATTTATTTTGAAAAAATCGATGTTAATATGGAATAAGACAAATACATAAAGTCTTTTTTATTTTAGTAAAGATTTTACGTCTTTTTTTTACTTGTCAGATGTTATGGGATTTTTTTTTCTTAAACTGATTTTATGGGTTATAAGACAAATAAATAAAATAACTAAATAAAATTCTGGATAGAAATAGCAATGCATTAATTACGTTGCCTTTTCAATCTACCAAATTTGGTAAATATGATACTTTATATAATAAGTATAGATACAAATAAATAACATGCCAAAATTTTAAAGAATAATTAATGTATTTTAATTTATTATCTAGCCATCAGTAATATCATTTATTGATGTGATCATTATCTCTTAAATGATAAATAAAATATTAATTTTACAAAATATTTATTTTTTATATACTCAAATAAAAATTAAAAAATACTATCGACAAATATGAATTATAATATATATCAGTAAAATTATTGCAGAAATTAATAAAATTGTTTAAGGAAAGAATCTTTTTGATCATATTTGATTAGGAAATGTATATATGCAAGCAATTAATGCATATAGTAAAGAATTTCTAAATAAAGTATGCATTAAATGTGAGTTGACTTTTTTTTGCTACTATTTTTGGTAAATAGTATGGCTTTTAATATAAGTATAGATGCTGATATTTAGAAAGAAAAATAGAAACGAGAAGATTTTACATGAAATTTTAAATAGCTTTTGAAAAATATTTTAATAGTATTATTTATATTTAAAATAAGTTTTTGTATGTGTACGATTTGTCTGTTTTATATTATAATAATTTTTCTTAGTCATATGTAATGAATTTATATATAAATAACTTTTTTAATTGATATATAATCTTATCATATGTAATATGAATTTTTATACAACATTTTTGATTTATATATGATTTTATTAGTTTTTAATAATTAATAATAGATTCTTTAACTCTATAATAAAAAAATAAATTACTTATTTATTTCATATATGCAATATAAATATCAAATTGAAGCTCGTCAAAAGATGTTTTATTTGATACTTTATATATAAAAAATTAACAACAAATACAAAAGTTATTAATCTTTAATATCTATAATCAAAATTAGTCAAGTGTATTATAATTTTATACGTCCTAATAGCTATGGATAGAATCCTGATTTACATGAACTACACTGAAACACAATAAATATTGTAAACATATATGATCAAGATATTATGCATTAATATATAAGAGATAGTGGTCTTGTGTTGAATAGCTCTAATCATTGAGACGAGACATACTCTTTTTATAAATACATGTTTACTTTCATAAAAGAAAATTATCTTTAAAACATAACATAAACTAAACTTTGATTTTTAATAGTATATATGCATCTTTTGTCAAACGGTGTGATGGGTCGAACCGCCTCACGGTGAGATCGTCTCACCACTAGGGGCGAAACCAGAAAATTAGTTGAGAGGGGGCAAAAAAAACGACACAATGGGTTCAATGTTCAACAGATACCGAATTGATAATATTTCCGTAACTGATTTTCGATTACAATTACACATAAGCCGGTTTGGTTTCAGTTTATGTTCTCATTAGTTCGGTTCGATTCAGTTCAGTTTCCGGTTTTTGGTCAAACAATATCAGCCCTAGCTTGGACAATAAAAGAGAGTTGAAGTCTTTTATATGGACCAATTAAAATTATAGAATGATAATAATTAGTATACAAAATTAATAGTAAAATAAAATAAGTGTTGAATTGTTAATTGACAATTGTGGACATGTTGGCAAAAAACAAAAAAAATTGGGGGTGCAACAATAAATTTAAAGAGGAAGAAAGGGTACAAATTAAAATTTTTAATATCAATAGTAAAAAATAAATTTAATTGCCCCCATTAATACATCTACATTCGCCCCTACTCACCGCCAAGAATTTGTGTAACATTTTATAAGATAAGTGTGCATATCTTTCAATTGTTCTCACTCAAATGTCACATTTTAATTATAAGTGCATTTCTTTCACACTGAAATACATTTTTCTATTGCATCAAAAGTCATTTTTTAAATAACAATATGATCTAAAGTATAACAATTATGAGATAATTATGCATTTGAAAATAGTATAGTCAAAAGAATGAAGATACCTTCATAAGAAGAGGAATGAAGTCACTCAGACTAAAAAGAAAAGATTAAAAGGTGCGTATACAATTTCATTTGAATTGCAAGTAAGTCATAGTGAGGCTATATATTTTCCAATTGAAATGTTATACTCTGAGAAATACCATCAATAAAAGTGTTGAGTGAAGATGACAATATGGCATACGAATTAAAAAATGAGAAAAGTAAATAACACAAGATTTACGTGGTTCGGCAATATGCCTACGTCCACGGCGGCTGAGAGATCTTTATTATTCTCAATAGTCTCAAATACATCAATACACCATGTATTTATAGTATAACCCTACAAGGTATTAATTTACTTAAATACCCCGTACCGTACCCCTTTGTCAATATATGAGCCATATCAACAAATCTCCACCTTGGCGAATATATCACCTCCTTAGGAGAACACAATAGCGAGCACCTCTGCGAGACACACCAAGCAGGCCGGGGGTACAAAGCAACTCTAGCATGCAGAAACATTCAACAAATCCAAGCAATGCTTGAATTTGTCAGAAGTAACAGTCTTAGTCAACATATCAGCAGCATTCTCTTCAGTATGAACTTTCTCCAACTGAATATCACCAGAAGCAATCCATTCCCTAATCTCGTGGAACCTCACATCAATATGTTTCGTCCTAGCATGATATATCTGATTCTTAGCCAAATGAATGGCACTCTGACTGTCACAATGTACTAGAACGCCACCTTGCTGAATACCCAACTCTCTAACCATTCCAGCAAGCCACACTGCTTCCTTTGCCGCTTCAGCCAAAGCAATATACTCAGCTTCAGTTGTAGATAGAGCAACTATAGGTTGAGTATTCGACCTCCAACAAATAGGCCCTCCACCAAAAGTGAAGACATACCCAGTGGTAGATCTCCTATTATCCAAGTCCCCAGCATAATCAGAATCCACATATCCTACAACCAAAGGATCCAACCGCTGATCTCCAAATACAATACCATGTCCCGCAGTACCTTTCAAATATCTGAAAATCCATTTGACTGCCTCCCAATGCTGTTTACCCGGCCTTGACATATATTTGCAAACTTGACCAACAGCATGAGCTAAATCAGGACGAGTACATACCATGGCATACATCAGACATCCAACAGCACTGGCATAAGGTATCTCCACCATATCGTGAGTCTCCTTGTCCGACTTGGGGCACTGATCAACAGAAAGCTTGAAGTGGTTTGCTAATGGAGTGCTCACCGGTTTTGCTTCATTCATCCCAAACCTCTGTAGCACCTTCTCCACATAACCCTTCTGAGATAACCACAGCTTCTTTGATCCTCTATCCCTGTGAATCTCCATCCCAAGAATCTTCTTCGCAGCCCCCAAATCCTTCATCTCAAATTCCTGACTCGAAAGGCTTTTTAGATCAATAATATCACGCATATTCTTGGCAGCAATAAGCATGTCATCAACATAAAGTAACAGAAAAATCATAGAACCATCACCAAGGCTCTTAGTGTAAA